GCCGTCGGGGGGTGGGCTTAGGGCGGGGCATGGTCTGGCCGAATCCACCGCAGGGTCAGGGCGAGTCCAGGCGTCCGGCGGGGCTGGAGGGGATTCGGCGGCCGGGAAAAGGAAGGGATCGGGACGGCCACTACCCGGTTCCCCCAAGCTCCCCCTTCCCGCCCATCGCCCGTGACCCGCCGCAGCCGCGCTGTTCAAACTTCGCCCATCGCTGCCCAAACCTCGCTCAGCGCTGTTCAAACCTCGCTCAGCGCTGCCCAAACCTCGCTCAGCGCTGTTCAAACCTCGCTCAGCGCTGTTCAAACCTCGCTCAGCGCTGCCCAAACCTCGCTCAGCGCTGTTCAAACCTCGCACTGTTCAAACCTCGCTCAGCGCTATTCAAACCTCGCACTGTTCAAACCTCGCTCAGCGCTGTTCAAACCTCGCTCAGCGCTGTTCACACCTCGCCCATCGCTGCCCAAACCTCGCTCAGCGCTGCTCAAACCTCGCCCATCGCTGTTCAAACCTCGCCCATCGCTGCCCAAACCTCGCTCAGCGCTGTTCAAACCTCGCACTGTTCAAACCTCGCTCAGCGCTGCCCAAACCTCGCTCAGCGCTGCCCAAACCTCGCTCAGCGCTGTTCAAACCTCGCACTGTTCAAACCTCGCTCAGCGCTGTTCAAACCTCGCTCAGCGCTGTTCAAACCTCGCTCAGCGCTGCTCAAACCTCGCACTGTTCAAACCTCGCCCATCGCTGCCCAAACCTCGCTCAGCGCTGTTCAAACCTCGCACTGTTCAAACCTCGCTCAGCGCTGCCCAAACCTCGCTCAGCGCTGCCCAAACCTCGCTCAGCGCTGTTCAAACCTCGCACTGTTCAAACCTCGCTCAGCGCTGTTCAAACCTCGCTCAGCGCTGTTCAAACCTCGCTCAGCGCTGCTCAAACCTCGCACTGTTCAAACCTCGCTCAGCGCTGCCCAAACCTCGCACTGTTCAAACCTCGCCCATCGCTGCCCAAACCTCGCTCAGCGCTGTTCAAACCTCGCACTGTTCAAACCTCGCTCAGCGCTGCTCAAACCTCGCACTGTTCAAACCTCCCGCCGCGTCGCGCTGCTCGTGACGTCACTTCCTCCCGCCGCGCCAGTCGGGGCGCGCGACCGCTCTGGGCCGCCAGACTCCGCGACTCGATGGTGCCGGGGCGGCCGAAGGCTCATTAGCATAAATCTGCATGGCTCCGCCCTCTGACACCCCGCGCCTTGGGGCTCCCAGGGTAATCTCAATTACAGTCCCAGTGTGATCCCAGTACGGTATCCGTTATCGTCCCAGTCGATTACAGAGTGTCCAGTCACTCCCAGTGTGGTTCCCAGTGCTCCTGGTCATCTGCATGGTTCCAGTTACTCCCAGAATGATCCTAGTATGATTCCAGTCACTCCCAGTGGGAGTCCAGTATGATCACAATGGCTCCCAGTATGATCACTATTACACTCCCAATGACCCTGGTCAAATCCTGTCCCTGCTAGAATGATCCCATTATGATCCTAATCACTCCCAGTAGGCCCCCGGTGTGGTTCCAGACACCCCCAGTACTAACCCAGCATGGTTCCAGTTGTCCCCTGTATGATCCTAGTTACCACAGTTGTGGTCCCAGTACCCTCAACATGGTTCCAGCATCTTCCATTTGCTCCCAGTGTCTTCACATGTCCCAGCATGGTCCCAGTAGCTCCCTGTGCCTCCTAGTACCCAGTGGGAGTCAGTCGAGGGTTGCAGCTCCATGAAAGCCATTGGAGAAGCAGGTTGGGGAGTTAGTGAACCCATGGTAACTCAGGTAGGTTTTGGGGGTCTCTTGAGGGCATTGCCTCACAGACCTCCCAGTTTACCCCCAGTTTTCCCAGTGGGCCACCACACCCCTCATTTGACCCCATCAAGCCTCCCAGTTGCCCCTATATGTCCACCCCAGCCACCCAGATGCCCCTCAGTTCTCCCAGTGGGCCATCACACCCCCTATTTGACACCATCAAACCTCCCAGTTTCCAACACTAGACACTCCAGTTGTCCCTCTAGATCCTCCAGCTCCTCCCAGTCCTCCCAGTGGACCACCATACACTCATTTCATGGAATCATTGAGGTTGGAAAATCCCTCCAAGACTGAGTCTAACCTCTGACCAATTTCCACCTTATGACTCAACCATCACACTGAGTGCCACATCCAGTTGTTCCTTGACACATCCAGGGATGGGGACTCCACCACCTCCTTGGGCAGCCCCTTCCAATGCCTGACAACTTTTTCCTTGAAGAAATTCCTCCTGATGTCCAACCCAACCCTCCCCTGGCACAGCTTCAGGCCATTTCCTCTGGGAAACGTCTCTGTTCCCTGGGAGCAGGGCCCAACCTCCCCTGGCTGCCCCCTCCTGTCAGGGAGTTGTGCAGAGCCAGAAGGGCCCCCCAAGCCTCCTTTACTCCAGGCTGAGCCCCTGCAGCTCCCTCAGCTGCTCCTGGTGCTCCAGCCCCTTCCCCAGCTCTGTTCCCTTCCCTGGGCATGCTCCAGCCCCTCAATGTCTCTCTTGCAGGGAAGGGTCAGAACTGGGCACAGGACTCAACGTGGGGCCGTGTGCCCTGGTCCTGCTGGCCACACTATGGCTGATCCACGCCAGGTACCACTGGCCTTTTTGCTCACCTGGGCACACACTGGGTCAAATCCAGATGGCTGCCAACCAGCAGCTCCAAATTCCTTCCTGCTGAGCAGCTCTCAAGCCATTTCTTTCACAACCTGGAGCATTCCATGGGGTCATGGTGACCCAGCACTTGGCTCTTTTGACCCTCACACTGTTATCCTCAGCCCACTGATCCAGCCTGTCCTGATCCCTTTGCAGAACTTCTTGCCCATCAGCAGATTCACAGTTTCACCCAAGCTGGTGTGATCTGTGAATCTCCCAAGGGTGCCCTCAATCCCCTTGTCCAAGTCACAGATTGTGGTGGGTTTAGTGCTGGCTAAAATCACCAGTGCGCTTAGTCATTCCTTGCTGTGAGATATGGATTAGGAGAAAGGCAAATAAGGTTCAAAGCTTGAAAGGTATAAAGAAATTTTATTAATAGAACTACAAGAATAAGAAGCATCAGAATGCATTCTTCCCCTCCCCAACTTCTTTCTTTAACTGACAACATAGAGACAAAACCTGGGGTGTTAGATCAGATACCAGCTATGCAATAGTCTTTCATCAGTTCTTGCAAGGAGAGGAACTTTCTCTTGCCGTGCCATGAAGACTTTTCCACAAGAAACAGTTCTCTTGTGGCTTTTCATTTCCACAATTAGTAGCTGCCTGGGAAAAAGTTCTGCATTGTGAAATTCCTCCCATTTTCACACCACTCATAGAGGTGTGTCCATGGGCCATGAACTCATGGGATATTAAGGATGAGTTACTCAAAGGTAAAGGTTCTCTTTATCTGTCTCTGTGATCATCTCTGAGAACAGAGGTTTTCTTGTTCTCCCCCTGGGGGCAAAGGGTCTTCATCAACTCTCATCTCTCTCTCTGTTCAAGCATCTCATGGGATCACAGCTACTCCACCATCTGCTTGGCTTCATCAGTGGATGCCTCTGCTGACATCCACAGTTTGAATGCTTCATCCCTCCATACTCTCTCATGAATTAAAGGGGATATTTCAGTATATCATTGGCCATCTCCATGGCCCTATCGAAGGAATATTTCAACCCCATTAAGGATCTCTTCATTCTCTTTCCATTTGAGGTTTGACTCTTTCTTTACTGACCTTGCTGTTTTCATGTTGTCTTTCTACAAGTCATCACTCTTTTTCTTTCCCTGGAGAGAGGATTAAGGTCTGCGGGTCTCATCTGTGTAATGAAAGGGTTAAATCTCACCCAGGGGCCACAGCAGTCACTGTATTGGATTTCAGGCCATGCTGGCAGCCACTGGGGGCTGGTGGGGGGCACTCCTGGAGCTGTCGGTGTGGGCTGGGGAGGGGGTTTAGTGTCGGTGAGACGTCAGCAGCCTCCTGTCCCCAGCCTGGGAGCTGCTGGGGTCCAGCCTGGCCCCCACCCCGGGCCACACAGGCTGCAGAGGAATGAGGCCAGCCCCACCAGAGCTCAGCTACCCTTCGAGGCCAGAAGCACAGAGTTCCCAGACTTGTGGTTTTTAAAATGTGGATCTTAAAGAGGCAGATCTAATTTCTAAATGGTTCAAAATGTTGTCAGTTCTCAGAACCAGACAGCTATTGGCCTTTCCTAGGCAGAGAGGAAGCTCCCAGCAGCTTCTCTTAAAGAAATCACTTCTGTGGTTGGTTTCTTACTTCTTCCCCAAACGTCAATCAGTGTGAAACCACCACACAGATGAAGATGTTGAACAGGACCAGTCCCAACACTGAGCCCTGGAGAACCCCAGCAGTGCCCAGCCCCAGCTGGCTATGGCTCCATTTCCACTCCCTCCTTGGCCTGGCCAGCAGACAGGTGTTCCCAGCAAGAGGCACCTCTCCCAGCCAGAAGCTGCAGGTGCTCCAGGAGAGGCAGGGAGATGGAGGCAGTGCCAAAGGCTTTACTGAGTTTCATGCAGACATACCAACACATGTCCAACACCCACTGGGGCCACCTGGGCACAGCAGGAGATCAGTTGAGTCAGGCAGGACCTGCCTTTCCCAAGCCCTGGCTGTTCCCAATGCCCTGGTTTTCCTGTCCGTGCCATGGGCTCCCCCCAGAGAATCTGTTCCAGGGCTGTCCCAGAACCAGGGCCTGGAGTTTGCTGGACTCTTCTGGCCGTGATCCCAGTGGCTCCCAATCACCTCCAGTATGGTTCCAGTCATTCCCTGTATGATCCTGGTCACTCCCACTATGATACCAGTGTGATCCCATGGTCCCAGTTGCTACCATTCATCCCCAGTATGATTCCCCTTACTCCCTGTCACTCTCCAGCATGGTTATAGTTGTTCCCTGTATGATCCTAGTTGTCCCAGTTGTGATCCCAGTATCCCCACCATGGTTCCAGTATCTACCAGTTGCTCCCAGCATGGTCCGAGTACCTCCCAGTGCCTCCCTGTGACCAGTGGGGGTCAGCTGAGCATTGCAGCTGTCCATGAGATCCACCTGGGGAAAAGGACACAGAGGTGTTGTGGGAGGATATGGGGAGACATGGAATCACTGTCTTGCTGTCACCAAAACTGTGGAAAAAACAAACATTCTCCAACAACATTTTTACTGTTAGAGAATTAAAGTATTACTTTATTCTGGCTAGGATGTTTTTCTGGCCAGAATCTGCAACATAAATAATGTAATCCACACATTACCTGGATTGTGCAGAGAAAACTGTTCCATCACACATGGCTTTTTTTTCCACATACTTACACAGTCAAAACCTGGAAAAATTCATTGGTTCAACTTCCATTGGCTGTAAGTTACAGTCCTTTCTATTTGGTTTCCTATTGGTTATTGATCCCTCTGCCTACACTGCTAATTAGGTCCTCATTCTTTGTTCTCTTATTGACCTTTTCCCTGACCAGGGGTCTCTGACACACCAGGAAGGATGTTTGAGCGTTAATGGTTATTTATATCTTGTGCATCCTCTGGCAGCTCCTAGTCCATTGAGATGTCAAGCTCATCAGGCCTTGCCTGGGCAACAGAGTCTCTTGAAAAGAACTTCCATTCCCTTCCCCCTGGGTGAAGATGGACAAAACCCCTGACTAAAGTTAAAAATTTTAGAAGTTCCATCATTTCCAACACCACCCCTCTCCATGGACACAGTACCCTCATTGTCACCCTGTGTCCCCATGTCCCCCCATCTCCCTCATGTACACAGGTGTCCCCAGGGTCCCTCATGTCCCACCTGTCTCCCCGATGTCTTCATGTCACCCATATGTCCCCAATGTCCCCCATGTGTCCCCCATGATCCCACCCTATCCCCCATCCCCCAGTGTCCATGCCCTGTGGCAGGAGGTGCCTGGACTCTTCCTGGCCAGCTGGGACATCTGTCTAGTGGCCCTGTGTTCCTCTGGGAGACAAAATATAGACCAGGGGAAGACCCTGAATACAGGCCAGGAACTCAACATTGTGGCAAACAGGACAGGGCAAGAGCATCCTTCCTCCACTTCATTTTTGGGACCCTCCTGATGGGAAAAGGGACACTATACCCCTTCATGGAATGAATCCCCACCCAGGGATCTGGGCCCCTCTGCATGGGACTGGGGACTCCTCCCCAATAAATGGCCTTGAGACCCCCCACGTGTACCTGATTTACCTTCCTGGAACTGAGAACTTCCCCATGGGATTGGGACATAAACCTCCTGCTCCCAGGCGATTGGGGGACCCATCATTGGACTGAATACACCGCCCCCCCATAAGTCTGCAATGAGCCTGAAAGTAGGACCCAACATACCTCACACACACCCTCCAAATGCTGTGTAGGGACCCCTGACTGCCCCACAGTGACACACAGCTGCCCCCGTGCCCCCAGCCATCTCCCTATACCCCCCGTGGTACCTGTGATGGAAAAGCACTTGCCCAGCACGATGAGCATGAGGAGGAAAATGAGGGAGCTGATGGAGGGGGAGCAGCTGGCACGGGGACGTGGGGAGGGCTGGGCACTCACCTTCATCACACCCCCTACCCTCTGCTTCATCACCTTTATACCTCCTGTACTCTCCCAAGCCCCTCATCACCTCCCATGATTTCAAAGTGCCCCTGTGCCCCCCCATAACCCCTATACTTCGCTGTGAAAACCCCCCCAAACCCACTCAGAACCCCCAGCCCCACCAAATCTCAATATGCCCCTCAGACCTCGACACCTCCCAATCTCTGAAGATCCCCCCAAATCCCAGTACAACTTCCACAGACGCCAATGCTCTCCAGTCCCCGCAGCCGTCCCCGGCCCTCACAAATCTGCCCATAGCCCCCCAAGCTCCCTCTTCACGCTCCATGCTGGCAGCCACCATGAGCATCTTGTAGGTGGTGTGGAGCAGCTGTCATCCCTAGACCATGTCTGGGGGGACTGGGGGGTGAGCCCAGGATCTCTCAAAGCACCACCTCCCCCCAGGCCCCCTTGAAGCTCAGGTTTCTCCCCAGCCACTCACTGATGAATAATGAGAAGATGACAACGAAGAAATGAAGATGAGGAGGAAGGTGATGTCTGTCTCCAGGATGCCTGGGGAAAGTGGGGGGGTGGGGTGAGAAGGGGTTCACCCCATGAGGACCCAATACCCACCAGGCTGTCCACAGACGCCCCCTGCATTGCAGCCCCACCATCAATCCCCAAGTATCCCAACCCCTTCAGCTTCCTCAGACCTCAATAAGCTCCAATATGTCTCCCAATACTGATGCACCCCAATCCTTCCAACCCCCTAAACCCCCGAAAAGTCCTCCAGACCCTCATATACGTGCCCATCTCAATGCACCCCCAATC